TTAGTGTCATCAGCAAATTTGAACAGGCTGCTTTTTACCCCCTCATCCAAGTCGCTGATGAACATGTTGAACAGCGCGGGCCTGAGGACCGAGTCCTGGGAAGCTCCACTGCCCCCGTCCCTCCAGGTCGAATAAGACCCATCCACCACCACACTCTGGGTGCGGCCCTCCAGCCAGTAAGTGAGCCATTTGACTGTGTAGGTGTGGACACCATTCTCCTAGTTTTTTAATGAGAATGGGGTGAGAGACAGTGTTGAAGACTTTCTGGATTTCAAGAAGGCCTATGTCCACTGCGACACCTGCATCCAGGGATTTTGTGACCAGGTCACAGAAGGCCACCAGGTTGGTCTGACAGGACCTGCCTCTAATGATCCCATGTTGGTTGCCCCTAAGCATAGTCCCTGCTGGCCCCTCACGGACATGCGCCAGGATAATTTTCTCAAAGAACTTCCCCAGGACCAAGGTACGACTGACTGGCCTATAGTTTCCTGGGTCCTCCTTCTTCCTTTTTGAAAATGGGAACCACACTGGCCCTTTCCCAGTCCTCTGGCACCACACCAGAGTACCATGAGTGCTCGTAAAGGCATGCCAGGGGTCCTGCAATGACCTCAGCTAATTCCCTCACGACTCTGGGGTGGAGATCGTCAGGACCAGCTGATTTAAGTACGTCCAGTCCCTCCAGAAGTTCCCCGACTAGGTCCTCACTGACCCTAGATCTGGGTGCGCCTCCCCTGGGCCCTATGGGGGTCCCAGGGGGGGGTGACCCAGTACCTGATCAGAAAAATGGAGGCAAATAAATTGTTAAATAGGTTAGCTCTGCTGTCTGGTGCAACTACCAGATTTCCTAGTGTGTCTTACAGAAGCCCCCCCGTTACCCAGTACCTTCTTTTTACGCCCTATGCATTTAAAAAAGTCCTTAGCATATTCCTCGTGTCATCAGTCCTTGGGTAGTTACTTGGGCATCCTTTTGACCAGGGATCTGGGCTAGGATGGCAGCTTTGAGTACTGGTCCACTTCATTCTTCGCTTCCAGTGAGATTCTGAAAGCAAACTCCACCCCTCTCCTCACTTCCCATGCTCTCCTGTCAGCCACCACTGTGACTACAAGCACTAGCATGGAATGCTGGTTCAATAAGGCACTGCCTAGTGGGATTTGTAGTTAGTAATCCAGTGTACAGAGGCCCTCAGGGCAGGCTGCATGACTATTTCATCAGCCACCACTGCAAGCTAGAAGGCTACTAGGCAGCATCCCCATCAGCACATGCCACATGCAGGCTGCATCTACATTCATGCAGTCACTGATGCACCCCCAAGCAAGAAAGTGGCAAAGCTAGGGCTGGATGCAGGACGTGACTCTGCCCCTTGCACGCACCCTGCATAGGGTTCACACACTGCTTCAAGCCCAAGATGACAGAGTACTTGGAAATGGATTGGTCTCAACTCTGTTCTACAGCTCTGGATGCTAGAGCCCTACATGATTCTACGCTCCCCTTGGTCAAGCCTTAGCCTGGAAGAGAAAGCAACTTTGGCTGGTGGCGCACACATAGTGTTCTTGACCTCTGCATGTGCAGTTTCCATTTGCTCAGACCTCCCACCATATCTCCCTCCCTTCCAAGAAGTGAGGGCATAAGCCTTCACGCAACCCACATGCAGGACAACTGCTTCATGTCCAATCCAGTCAGTTTTGTTCCAGACCCAAGCCCAAAGTGATCAGAGCTGGGATCTCAGCAGCCTCTTCCCAGACACTAAGCCTAGAAAACCACAGCCCAAGCAGCAGTGTGCTAGAAAAGGGCATAAGGAAAGCTGTCTCACACCCTTAACTACAGCTGCCCCACCCCCACAACAGAAACCCATGGTAGGAACAAGAAGAGCAAGCCTATCTACACCTAGAACTGCAGCTGGCTTACTGCAGGGCAGTGATCAAACAGGATGGCAACTTGCAGAGCCAGTATGGCAGATTTTGGAGCCTGGGCGTGGGAGAAGCGAGGGCTGGAACACATAGCCCACGGCAAAGCCACCATGCCAGGGCTTACCAATCTGGTGTGGCGAATAAGTGAGGCATCCTGTGGTGAAGATCAGGTATTTCTTTTTGCTGTGGCCATCGGTGGGGACCAAGTTCAGTTCAGGTGGCTTTGTCCTGTTCCTTGCAAGTAGCTCAGCCACCTTTGTCTCCAGCTCTTTTTCAGTCATGAGGGGTCTCACACGACCTTCCATGATGTCGTCCAGGAACTGCTGTAGCCCACCCCCTGCCATCACGCTCCCATCCTCTGGGGATTCCTGAGCTGCCAGTTCTGATGTCAAGTTCTGTTTGGGCTTTGCCTCCTCTTCCTCACTGTCACTGCCAAGGTCAAAGACCTGGCAAGGGGAGGTGGAAGCAGCAGCTAACTGCTCCCCATAGTCCAGGAGCAGGTCAGGGGAGTCATACCGGCTGCAGTCTGCCACCATCACCGTCCGGATAGTGCTGGCATTTAAGTTCTGGATTTTAAACAGTCTCTTCACTACATTTACATTCTCAGACTCTATGCCCTAGGAACAGAGCAGAGAGGTGAGATTAGAGAGCAGGACAGGGCCACAATCATAGACCAATGGCCAAAATCATAGAAAATGAGGGTTGGAAGGGACCTCAGGAGGACATCTAGTTCAACCCCCTGCTCAAACAGGACCATCCCCAACTAAATCATTCTCGCCAGGGCTTTGTTGAGCCATGTCTTAAAAACCTTTGAGGATGAAGATTCCACCACCTCTCTGGGGAACCTGTTCCAGTACTTCACCACTCTCCTAGTGAGAAAGTTTTTCCTGATATCTAACCTAAACGTCCCTTGCTGCAACTTGAGACCATTGCCCTACCCTCTTACAGCAGGAGACTCCTCAGCTCCTCTTCCCAGAGTTCCTTCCTGCTGTAGGTGCCAAGAAGGAGCCCTGGCTGAGGCCCATAGCCAGAGACTCAGGGTCTCTAATGCAGTGGGTCCAGCTGAGGGTGGGGGAAGGACCCAGATTAAGTGGCCTTGAGCTGGTTGAGGCCGCACCTGGAAGGCGTTGTTCAGCCACAGCACAGAGCAGGAGGTGATGTGCCCGATCCGGTGCAGGTTGCCAGAAATCAGGTTGGTTTCGTTCAGCCAGCAGCCAAATACGTCGTAGGGTTTGTTCCTCACCCTAGAGAGGAGTAAGAAGTTTTCTGGAAGGGAGGAAAAAAAAGTGGGGAAATGAACTGTGCCATTGAGCCTGCTCCAGCAAAAGGACAAGACTCAGGCATGAAATCTAGTCAGAGGCCTGGCTGGTCACTGAAGTAGATGGACATGGATGGTCTCTCACAGCTGGCTAGGAGTGGCCACAACCATCATTCTCTGCCTTTCAGTGATGTTACTACTTACTACTCAAACTAGTTCTCTGTGCCTCAGAGGCCCCCACCCTTTCACTGTACCATAAGCTCCATTAGTAGAAGACACCACACATCAATATACCCAGCCCTACAAGAAGCCTCTACTTGGGTAGGGAGCCCAGAGCAGAGACCACAAGAGAGAATGAAGCTCAGGGTAGGCAGAGTCCTAGGAAGGTGAGGGGGTATGGAAAACAGGTCAAACATACATACACATTCCAGCAGAGCTGTAAGTGCTCTCAGGAACGGGCCAGCCAGCACTGCAGGTCAGGGGCACGAGTGCACCAGCTCAGTTGTGCGACAAAGCTCCCCCACTGCTCGCACTCAGGCTAGCTTCCACTATCAAGCCCATTGCTTTCCATCAGCACTAGAACAGCGGAAGTGAAATGTAAAGACATCAGTGGCTCTTTCTGAGATGATTACAACTAAGTGCCATGAGCTACATTTTTAGCTCGGTTACTGTTCAGTCCAGGCAGGCTCAGCTCTTGACAGCACTTTCTGATCTACTGAGGAAGGGTTCAAGCTTATCTGTCTTTTACAGATGGCAGAAACAAGCACAGACAGGAAAGGCCACATGTTCAGGTTCTCACAAAACCCAGCACACCAGCTCTTGGACCAGTGTCCCATCCACTGGCTCCCAAACCATTCCATCCCATCATGTCAAGGAAGATCCAGGATGGAAGGAGCCTTACCCATGCTGATGACAGCGATCTCTCCAGACGAGGAATTGTGAGGCCCCACAAAGACACCTGACACCAAGAGAAGGGAGTCGTCCGAATTGAACTGGGAAAACTGCGTGTAGCTCCAGTTGTATGGCCTCATGTTGGAGCTGTGCAGCAAGGAGATGTCCAGCTCATTGTTCCAGATCTGAAAACAGATGGGACAAAGGAAGGCTGTCAAAAGGTCCAGCAATACCAAGAGCATCTACCATTAGCAAGACAAAATTTACAGGGCATCAGCCAGGCAGCTTGGAGGCCAGTGGACAGAAATCCACCAGTGCTGACCTTTCTGCCTGGAGCCTGTTCAGAGGAGAACTGGAGGGGTTTACAAAGCAGCCCACTGAAAAATTCTTGGATGAATCCAATACCATGCTGCACAGTGCGCAGAAAAATGCCCTTGCTGCTGCTGCTCTGGTCACTCTGCTTTACAGTACCAAAGATGGCTGCACACAGTAATTACTCACCCAAGAGGCTATTTTTGCAGCAAGGGTTACTTATTGGACAGGAGGACAGGTCCTGTCAGCTTACAACTGCACAGTACCCAGAACAAAAAGATGGGGTGGGCCTCAAGGCACTGACACTGTAGTAGCCAACTCAGGGGGCTGCTGACTTGGTACAAAGGCCCTGAAGGCTACAAGGGGAAGGCACTACAATTCAAAGGCAATTCCATGGCTTCAGGGAGCACAACGGGAAGTGAAAGCCTGGGAAATGAAGATTAGGCTCCTTGCAAGATGCCTCTATCCCTACCATGTAGGGGCATATTCAGCAAACAGACTAAAGCTTAAGAATTCTGTCCCACTCCCACAGCCCCCCCCACCCTCAGACTGATCTCCCCTCAGGCTGGCATGCACGTCAGCCTTGCTGCCACACAGCCTGTGCCTGTTTTCCAACAGGAAGATGCTGTCCCCTAACCAAAGTCACCAAAATAAGAGCTGCTCAGGCAGTAGCTGTGCAGAAGTGTATCTCATTTGGGGTTCCCAGAGCAGAGTGGAGCGGGGACAGAGATAATCCCAGGGTCTAGCAAGCCAGCAGTGGAGCAGGGAGTAACACACAAGCATCCCAACTCCTAGACTCTAGGAGTTGGGATGTGGGGGGAAAAAGAGGAGGGGAATAGCAGGCTTGGTTGCTCTCCACATTTTGCTGGTTTTCCTGTTCTTCTACTGTCTGCCCAGCCCCAGTGCTGGCACATCAGCCAGTGCCTTGGTGGTTCAGGCAGAACCTGGGAAGAGCCGGCTTGGGCCACAAATATCAGATCAGATATTGTACTGCAAAGCCACGTCCCCAGCCCTTATGCAATCCTCCCCACAGGTCACAGCTCATCCACACCCGCCCCCCACCCCCCCATCCAGTCACATGCAAGTTATACTCCTCCACATTACATACATTAAATCAGGGGTGGGCAAAATGTGGCCTACGGGCCGGATGCGGCCCACAAGGCCATTTTTTCCGGCCCAAGGGGACAAAAAAAATAAAAATTAGAAAATGAATACATATCTGCCCCTGGCTGTCTGGCATGCAGCCCTCAATGGCTTGCCAAAACTCAGTAAGCGCCCTCTGTCTGAAATAATTACCTGCCCCTGAAATGCATCAAACCCCCTAAAGGGAAAGGGGCTTGTTGAATGAGCCCAGAGTCTATTATAATGACTAGCTGCTCAGAGAGGCCAAACCAATTAGCTCTGGAACCCACAGCCCCATATATTCAGAGCCCTGTGACTTCTATACCTCTCCTGTGTTTTATGGATGCTAAGATGTCTCAGCTGCAGCATCCCCTCCTCCACAGTGCCTGATCCAAAGGCCTCACTATACTAACCAACCAGATCAGCTCCCAGCAAAGGAAAGGGAGGAGGAGAAGGAAGAGGAAGATCAGGGTATGACAGCATGACAGAAGTTTATACAACTGGAGTCAAAGCTTGAGCCTACCTCACTTGGTCCAAGTGAACAAACAAATCATCCAGCACAAGAGCCAGCTATCCCTTTACCTTAACAGTGCAGTCCTTGGAGCAGGTTGCAAACAGGTAGCCAGAATGGGAGAAGCTGAGGTGCAAGACCTGGTCACTGTGCTCCTTGAGGGTCTGTACTTCAACACACGGGATGGTGTCATAGAGTCTCTGGAACTCATCGTACCAGGAAACGGCGGCTGCAACACACAAGCCGAGACATTTGGGACTCGGAAGGTGGCAAGGAGGGGATGGGAGTTAGCCACAGGCAGAGGCCATGGAGCTGGGTGGCTTTGCCTGTAGCAGTTACAGCACACAATTAAAGATACCAGACCTGGGTGCCGTGGCACTTCCCGAGAAATCCGGTAGTATCGGTAAAACAGTTCCTTCCACAAGAACTCATCCCGGGCCACTGCATGCCACTGCTGACACACCAGTGTTGCTGAGAGCACGTCTACGTGGTCCAGGTAAAGGAAGATCTCATAGAGGATGCTGTCAGGGAGAAGGGGATTACCCCCAACATCCATAGTGTCATTCTGTCACCAAAGGACTCTGGAGAGACGTAGGAATGCAGTTAGTTTCCACCCACCTGCCCAGCATGCCACTAGGGAGACACTTGCCCAGAACAGGGAGGCTGCCACGCCTGAGCAAGCGCGCTCACAGGCAAAGCAAGCAATCGCGGCTTCTCACAGGCAGAGGCAAATACACGCACCCACTTTAAACAGCCATGTTTCCAACTGTAAACACTTGTCAGGAAAACAGTGTTGGTGGGCTGGGGCGGGCAGTTTTAAATTAAACCCAAGAGAGAGCAGTTTTCTCTTCGCTTGCCCTCATGCAGGTGAAGCTTTTTCGAAATAAAGAAGAAAGTTCACTCATGTGGCAGCCCCCATGGTCCTGTGTCTGGAGACACATGAAGACAAAGCATTGGGCATGTCCCTGACTTCAGTCCTGTGTGCAGTGACCCCAGTGCAGGTCACCAGCAGGACTTGAAAACAAGACCTTCAGCATGAAAGCACTGAGTTGAACCACATGAGCCGAGCTGAGCACCATCAAGCGTGGAGCTGAACAAACGGTGCAGACGGAGACAGCGTTGATGCCTATATGGAGCTGCCTAGTGGAGCGGTTCGGTGGGTCTGCTCCTACAGCCACATCCTCGTAACTCTAAAGCCGTCTTGCTGAGTTAACATTACAATGACACTGACCACTCGCAGCTCCTGTAGTGACAGAGCATAGCAGCTCACATGCACCCCCAGCAACAGCTCCCCCTTCCCTTTTAAATCACCGGAAAGTTAATTGGCTAATTTGGCTGTGGACTGCTTCAACACCAGCTAGCTGCACAGCACGCAGACCAGGCACAGGGGAGCACGGACAGAGTGAGCTTGCTATGCTGTCGCTTTCCCTGGCGAGTGAGAGAGGTCTGCGCCCTGACACCTAGCAGCGAGTTCTGCTGTCAGCCCGCAGCAGCGCTGGCTATGGACTTGGCACCCAGACTCCAGCACAGCTCAGACGTTTGGGATGCGTTTGCTCTGCCAGGAGACAAGGAGCACGTGCTGTATTTATGAAATGCGCTATGCGTCTCGAGACCCACGGAGAAAGCGCCCGAGACAACTGCTGCTGCTCAACGCGCTGATTGTTTTGCTCCAACACTAAGAGGTGAACTTCAGGGGTGCCGGCACAAGGCTGACGGGGGCGTAGAGCAGCCGGGACCCCAGCGAGGCCATTCGTGTCGCCCAGAGTCCTGGGGAAGCAGCAGTAAGTTCTGGCCCCGCCGCCGGGGGCACGGGTCAGCCCTCAAGGTCAGCGCCCCGCACCTGCAGTGCAACACACACAGGCACAGCCATCCCGTCGCTCGTCCTGGACGCCACGGACACACGGTCGGCCGCTCGCCCCCCACCCCGTGGGGCAGTTTCTATCCACGTAAAGCACAACACGCTCGCACGCGACAGGGACCAGACTGATGCTGGGCAGCAGTGAAGGGCAACCGGCTGCACCCACAGCCTCCCCGAGTGCCACCGCGACCCCTACCCCGCCCCAGTCCGGCCTGCCGCTCCTGTCCC